CGGTGCTGCCGGTGCTGCCGGTGCTGCCGGTGCTGCGGTGCTGCCGGTGCTGCCGGTGCTGCCGGTGCTGCCGGTGCTGCGGTGCTGCCGGTGCTGCCGGTGCTGCCGGTGCTGCCGGTGCTGCCGGTGCTGTGGTGCTGCCGGTGCTGCTGGTGCTGCGGTGCTGCGGTGCTGCCGGTGCTGCCAGTGCTGCGGTGCTGCGGTGCTGCCGGTGCTGCCAGTGCTGCGGTGCTGCGGTGCTGCCGGTGCTGCTGCGGTGCTGCAGGTGCTGCGGTGCTGCCGGTGCTGCCGGTGCTGCCGGTGCTGCCGGTGCTGCCGGTGCTGCGGTGCTGCCGGTGCTGCTGCGGTGCTGAGGGTGCTGTGGTGCTGCCGGTGCTGTGGGTGCTGCGGTGCTGCCGGTGCTACCGGTGCTGCCGGTGCTGGCCCTGCTGGTGCTTCCGGTGCTGCCGGTGCTGCCGGTGCTGCGGTGCTGCCGGTGCTGCCGGTGCTGCCGGTGCTGCCGGTGCTGCCGGTGCTGCCGGTGCTGCGGGTGCTGCCGGTGCTGCCGGTGCTGCCGGTGATGCCGGTGATGCGGGTGCTGCGGTGCTGCCAGTGCTGCCGGTGCTGCGGTGCTGTGGTGCTGCTGTGGTGCTGGAGTGCTGTCGGTGCTGCCGGTGCCCATGTCCCGGCAAGGGGCAGCTCCGGCCTCAGCCCCGTTCCCGCAGCGGCCCCAGATGTTCTTGGCGCCAGATGTGGAGGACGCGTGCGTGCAGCGGCGCTGCCTGCGTGCCGCGGCCTGGGGCTGCCCAGCGGCAACGGCTCTGCCTGCCCTGCCTGTGCTGCCTGCACGGGAACCCGGGCCGGGGGTGCCGGTTGTTCTGGTGGGTGCTGGTGGGTACCGGTCGTGCTGGTGGGTGCTGGTTGTTCCGGTATGTGTCGGTTGTGCCAGTGGGTGCCGGTGGGTGCTGGTGGGTGCTGATTGTTCCAGTGGGTGCCGGTTGTTCCGGTAGGTGCCGGTTGTGCTGGTGGCTGCTGGTTGTTCTGGTGGGTACCGGTGGGTTCCGGTGGGTGCTGGTTGTTCCAGTGGGTGCCAGTGCATGCTGGTCGTGCCAGTGGGTACTGGTGGGTGCTGGTGGGTGCCGGTTGTTCCGGTAGGTGTCAGTCGTGCCGGTGGGTGCCGGTGGGTGCCGGTGCATGCTGGTCATGCTGGTGGGTGCCAGTGGGTGCCAGTTGTTCCAGTGGGTGCCGGTGGTTGCTGGTGGGTGCCGGTGCGTGCTGGTTGTTCTGGTGCGTGCTGGTGGGTTCCAGTCGTGCCGGTGGGTTCCGGTGGGTTCCGGTGGGTTCTGGTGGTGCCGGTGGGTGCTGGTGGGTGCCTGCGGGTTCTGGTGTGTTCCGGTGGTGCCGGTCGTGCCGGTGGGTGCTGGTGGGTTCTGGTGGGTTCCGGTTGTTCCGGTAGCTGTCAGTCGTGCCAGTGGGTGCCAGTGGGTGCCGGTGCATGCTGGTTGTTCCGGTGGGTGCCGGTGGTGCCGGTGGGTGCCGGTGTCTTCCAGTCGTGCCAGTGGGTGCCAGTGGGTGCCGGTTGTTCTGGTGTGTTCCGGTGGGTGCCGGTCGTGCCAGTGGGTGCCGGTGGGTGCTGGTTGTTCCGGTGGGTTCTGGTGGGTTCCGGTTGTTCCGGTGGGTGCCGGTGCCGAGCGCTGCCCTCCCGATGAATCCCAGCAGCCACAGCCCCGGTGCCCTTTGGCCTCCAGGCAGGGTTCGGGCTGCGCCGGCGCTGCCGATGCCGGGTGCGGCACCGGGCGCCCCTTTAATGGGTACCGCGGGTACCGGGGGTGATGCCGGGGGTGCCGCGGGAGACCCCGCGCTGGTGCCGCCCCCTTTGGGGCCCTGCGGGACCCCCTCCACGGGGCTCTGCCCCCCCCCCAGGTGTGGGGCGCGTGGGGCTGGGAGGGGCCCAATGAGCCCTGCGCTGTGGGGCGGGGAGCGGGGAACCCCCCCCCCCCGGTGTGGGGCAGGGGGGGAGGGGTTAAGGGGCGGGTCCTGTGGGGCGGGAAGGGCGGGGCCGGCTCCTCCCTGGGGCCGCCCCCTCGGGGCTGGGGCTGGGGCCGGGGCCGGGTCCGGTCTCGGTCTCAGCGGCTGCGGGCGCCGCCATGGAGCGGAGCGGCCGCGGTGCGGGGCCGGGCTCCGAGGACAGCCTCTACCTGGCCGTGCTCCGGGCCTCCGAGGGCAGGAAAGGTGCGGGCGGGGCGGGGCGGGGGCGGCCGCGGTGCGGGGCGGAGGTGGCCATGATGTGGGGCGCGGTGATGGCCGCGGTGCGGCGTGGGGCGGTGGCCGTGGTGTGGGGCGCAATGGGGTTAGAGTGGGGCGCAGTGGGGTTAGCGTGGGGCGCAGTGGAGTTGGTGTGGGGCGCAGTGGGGCTAGTGTGGGGCGCAGTGGGGTTGGTGTGGGGCGCAGTGGGGTTAGTGTGGGGCGCAGTGGAGTTAGTGTGGGGCGCAGTGGGGTTAGTGTGGGGCGCAGTGGGGTTAGTGTGGGGCGCAATGGGGTAATGTGGGGAGCAGTGGAGTTGGTGTGGGGTGCAGTGGGGTTAGTGTGGGGCGCAGTGGAGTTGGTGTGGGGTGCAGTGGGGTTAGTGTGGGGCGCAATGGGGTAATGTGGGGAGCAGTGGAGTTGGTGTGGGGTGCAGTGGGGTTAGTGTGGGGCGGTGGCCGTGGTGTGGGGCGCAGTGGGGTTAGTGTGGGGTGGTGGCTGTGGTGTGGGGCGCAGTGGGGTTAGTGTGGGGCAGGGTGGTGTCTGTGGGGCAGGTTAGGGGTTGGTGTCTGTAGGGCATCCTGTGGGGCAGACGCTGTGCTGGGGCGGTGTCTGTGGGGCAGGTTATGGGGCAGACGCTGTGCTGGGGTGGTGTCTGTGGGGCAGGTTATGATGTGGTGTCTCTAGGGCAGCCTGTGGGGCAGGCCCCGTGCTGGGGTGGTGTTTGTGAGGCAGGTTATGGTGTGGTGTCTGTGGGGCAGGTTATGGTGTGATGTCTCTAGGGCAGCCTGTGGGGCAAGCCCCACGCTGGGGCGGTGTCTATGGGGCAGGTTATGGTGTGGTGTCTGTGGGGCAGACCCTGCACTGGGGTGGTGTCTATGGGGCAGGTTATGGGGCAGACCCTGCGCTGGGGCTGTGTTTATGGGGCAGGTTATGGGGCAGACTGCGCTGGGATGGTGTCTATGGGGCAGGTTATGGTGTGGTGTCTATGGGGCAGACTGCGCTGGGGCGGTGTCTATGGGGCAGGTTATGGGGCAGACTGCGCTGGGATGGTGTCTATGGGGCAGGTTATGGTGTGGTGTCTATGGGGCAGACTGCGCTGGGATGGTGTCTATGGGGCAGGTTATGGTGTGGTGTCTATGGGGCAGACTGCGCTGGGATGGTGTCTATGGGGCAGGTTATGGGGCAGACTGCGCTGGGGCTGTGTCTATGGGGCAGGTTATGGTGTGGTGTCTATGGGGCAGGCCCTGCGCTGGGATGGTGTCTATGGGGCAGGTTATGGGGCAGACCCTGCACTGGGGCGGTGTCTATGGGGCAGGTTATGGTGTGGTGTCTATGGGGCAGACTGCGCTGGGATGGTGTCTATGGGGCAGGTTATGGGGCAGACTGCGCTGGGATGGTGTCTATGGGGCAGGTTATGGTGTGGTGTCTATGGGGCAGGTTATGGGGCAGACGCGCCCGAGGCTGCGTTTCCCCACGCTGGCGCCGGCCCCATCCCCGCCCTGCCGGAGCTGCCGCCGGCCCTGCCCGAACCCATCCCTGCCCTCGCCCTGCCCGTACCCATCCCGGTCCCTGCCTGGGCCTGGGCCCCTCCCATCCGGTGCCACCGGCGCCGCGGGGCCAATCCCGGCCCGTTTTGGCACCGCTGACTCAGGGCCGTGGGTGCCAGAACCCCCCCCTCCCCCCCCGGGCACCCGGGGCTGTGCCGGGGCCTGGCCTGCGGCGACCGCTTCCTTCCCCATGAGTCAGGCATGGGCCTGGCACCGTTGGTGCAGCGCTTCCTGCCAGGCCCCTGCGGTGCCACCGCGTGTGCTGCCGGGCAGGGCCGGGGCGTTGTGTTGTGGCGCCACTGGGTTGTGCCGGGTGTCGTGGCACGGTGCCACGCTGTGGTGCTGTACCAGGGTGCCACAGGGTTGTGCTGGGTGTTGTGGCACGGTGCCGCGCTGTGGTGCTGTGCCAGGGTGCCACTGGGTTGTACTGGGTGTCGTGGCACGGTGCTGTGCCGTGGTGCTGTGCCAGGGTGCCACTGGGTTGTACTGGGTGTTATGGCACAGTGTTGTGCCATGGTGCCGTACCAGGGTGCCACAGGGTTGTGCTGGGTGTCGTGGCACGGTGCTGTGCCATGGTGCCGTACCAGGGTGCCACAGGGTTGTACTGGGTGTTATGGCACAGTGTTGTGCCATGGTGCCGTACCAGGGTGCCACTGGGTTGTGCTGGGTGTCGTGGCACTGTGTTGTGCCATGGTGCTGTGCCAGGGTGCCACTGGGTTGTACTGGGTGTTATGGCACAGTGTTGTGCCATGGTGCCGTACCAGGGTGCCACTGGGTTGTGCCGGGTGTTGTGGCACGGTGCCGCGCTGTGGTGCCGTACCAGGGTGCCACTGGGTTGTACTGGGTGTTGTGGCACTGTGTTGTGCCATGGTGCTGTACCAGGGTGCCACAGGGTTGTACTGGGTGTTATGGCACGGTGTTGTGCCATTGTGCCATACCAGGGTGCCACTGGGTTGTACTGGGTGTCGTGGCACTGTGTTGTGCCATGGTGCCGTACCAGGGTGCCACTGGGTTGTACTGGGTGTTGTGGCACGGTGCTGTGCCGTGGTGCCGTACCAGGGTGCCATCGGGTTGTACTGGGTGTCGTGGCACGGTGCTGTGCTGTGGTGCCGTACCAGGCGGTTGTGCCGCGGTGCTGCCGGTTGTGCCGCGGTGCTGCCGGTTGTGCCACGGTGATGCCGGTTGTGCCGCGGTGCCGCCTCTCACCCTCCCTCTGCTCTCTTGCAGATGAGCGAGACCGTGTCCAGAAGAAAACCTTCACCAAATGGGTCAACAAGCACCTCCTCAAGGTACCGGAGCCCCGGGGCCAGGGCCCGGGTGGCTGTGCCGGGGGGTTCGTGGTGCTTTGGTGCCGAGTGGGAGGGGGGGGTGGTCTCTGGTGCCGTGGATCCCGGCGCTGCTGCCGGCGCATCCCCACACAGTGCCCAAAGCCCGCGGCGCCGGTGCCGGTGCCGGTGCCGGTGCGGGGCCTGCCCTGACTCTCTCTTTCTGCCTCTCCCCGCGCAGCACTGGCGAGCAGAGGTAGGTCCGTGTGTGCCGCGGCGTCACCGCGCTGCCCCTCGCTCACACCCCGCTGCCGTAGCGGCGCTGCGCGGCACAGCCGAGCTCTGCATGCGGCACAGCCACGGCACCGGGATGGGGCAATGGGGGCTGTGGGGGGGGGCACCGGCTGCAGCTGGGGGGGGGGTGTTGGTGTAACCGCGCTGCCGGGGCCGTGCCGCGGTGACGGTGACGCTGTCACCGTGCGTCCGCCAGGCTCAGCGCCACGTCAATGACCTGTACGAGGACCTCCGGGACGGGCACAACCTCATCTCCCTGCTCGAGGTGCTCTCAGGGGACAAGCTGGTGAGTCCCACGCCGAACGCGCCGCCGCCGCCGCCATCACCACCCTCAGCCATCGGCACCCCCCCCCCCCCATCTCGTGCCCCCTGCATCCGCCCCCACCCCCGCTTGGCCAATGCCGGCGCCGCGGCTCTAACGCGGGGACGTCTCTTTGCTTTGGTGCCCCGGCGCTCACCGGCCCCCTCGGGCTTTGCCTTCTCCTGCTCCCGGCGCTGCCGGGCAGCCGCGGGAGCGCGACGTCGTCCGGAGCTTGCGGTTGGTGAGTGGTGGCACGGCACCGCATGGCACCGTACGGCACCGCGAGTGCTGGTGCAGGACCGCATGGCACCGTATGGCACCGCGAGTGCCGGTGCAGGACCGCATGGCACCGTATGGCACCGCGAGTGCCGGTGCAGGACCGCATGGCACCGTACGGCACCGCGAGTGCCGGTGCAACACCGCATGGCACCGCGAGTCCCCGTGCTGCACCGCGCATCCTGGTGCAGCCCCACATGGCACCGTACGGCACCGCGAGTGCCGGTGAAGGACTGCATGGCACTGCGAGTCCCTGTGCTGCACTGCGTGTCCCCATGTGGCACCCCGCATCCTAGTGCAGCACTGCATGGCACCATACGGCACCGCAAGTGCCGGTGCAGGACTGAATGGCACCGCGTGTCCCCATGTGGCACCGCGCGTCCTGGTGCAGCACCGTATGGCACCGTGAGTGCCGGTGCAACACCGCATGGCGCCATACGGCACCGTGAGTGCCGGTGCAGCACTGCATGGCACTGTGAGTGCCGGTGCAGCACCGCGTGTCCCCACATGGCACCGTGAGTGCCAGTGCAGCACCGCATGTCCCCACGTGGCACCGGGAGTGCCGGTGTGCACCACATGGTGCCCGGCCGCGACCTTTCCGTACCAGCAGCCCCAGTGGGTGCCCTGTGATGGTGTCACCAGGAGGTGCCGGCACCGGTGGCACTGCACCAGTGGGGTTTCCGGGTGCCCCACGGCCGTGGCTCAGAGCAGACCCCGGTGCACTTGGGGGCTCCCCGGTGTGTCCGGTGCCGGGGGTGCCGGGGCTCCGTCCCCGCGGCGAGGGCAGCGTGCGCGGTGCTGCCGCGGTGCTGAGGAAGCGCGGGCGCGGGATCCGGTGCCGGAGCCCATTGTCCGCTTGAGCCGCGCTTCCTGCAGCAGCCCCGGGGCCCTGGGGCCGGGCTGGGGTTTCCTGGCTCGGCTGTGCCGGGGCAGTGCCGGGGCAGTGCCGGTGCCGGTGCCGGCGGCTCAGTGCCGTGTCCCCGCAGCCCCGCGAGAAGGGCCGGATGCGCTTCCACAAGCTGCAGAACGTGCAGATCGCCCTCAACTACCTGAAGCATCGCCAGGTGAGGGGGGCCCGGGGGGGGTTTGGTGCTGCCGGGAGCCCCCGGTGCCACCGCGGCGTCACCACGACCCCGCGCGCCCCATAGGTGAAGCTGGTGAACATCCGCAACGATGACATCGCCGACGGCAACCCCAAGCTCACGCTGGGGCTCATCTGGACCATCATCCTGCACTTCCAGGTGTGCCGGGGAGGGTGCCGTGGGGCGGGGGCTGTGGGGCAGGGATGGTGCCGCAGGGATGGGATGTTGCTATGGGGTGGTTGCTACGGGGTGGTTGATATGGGGCGGGTGCTGTGGGGTGGTTGCTGTGTGGTGGTTGCTATGGGGCAGTTGCTATGGGGCGATTGCTATGGGGTGGTTGCTATGGGGCAGTTGCTATGGGGCGGTTGCTGTGGGGTGGTTGCTATGGGGCAGTTGCTATGGGGCGATTGCTATGGGGCGGTTGCTGTGGGGTGGTTGCTGTGGGGTGGTTACTATGGGGTAGTTGCTGTGGGGCGGTTGCTGTGGGGTGGTTGCTATGGGGCAGTTGCTATGGGGCAGTTGCTATGGGGCGATTGCTGTGGGGCAGTTGCTATGGGGCGGTTGCTGTGGGGTGGTTGCTGTGGGGCGGTTGCTGTGGGGCGGTTGCTGTGGGGCAGGTGCTGTGGGGCAGGTGCTGTGGGGCGGTTGCTGTGGGGTGGTTGCTGTGGGGCGGTTGCTGTGGGGCGGTTGCTGTGGGGCAGTTGCTGTGGGGTGGTTGCTGTGGGGTGGTTGCTATGGGGTGGTTGCTGTGGGGTGGGTGCTGTGGGGTGGTTGCTGTGGGGTGGTTGCTGTGGGGCAGGTGCTGTGGGGCGGTTGCTGTGGGGTGGTTGCTGTGGGGTGGTTGCTGTGGGGCGGTTGCTGTGGGGTGGGTGCTGTGGGGTGGTTGCTGTGGGGCCGGTGCCCTGGGGCCGGTGCTGTGGGTTCAGTGCCGTGGTGTCGATGCCGTGGGGCCGGTGCCATGGGTTCGGTGCCATGGGGTCTGCGCCGTGGGTTCGGTGTCGTGGGGTGGTTGCCATGGGTTTGGTGCCGTGGGGTCGGTGCCGTGGGGCCGGTGCCATGGGTTCAGTGCCGTGGTGTTGGTGCCATGGTGTTGGTGCCGTGGTGTTGGTGCCGTGGTATTGGTGCCATGGGTTCAGTGCCGTGGGGCCGGTGACGTGGGTTCAGTGCCGTGGGGTCGGTGCCGTGGGTTCGGTGCCGTGGGGTTGGTGCCGTGGGGTCGGTGCCATGGGGTCGGTGCCGTGGGTTCGGTGCCGTGGGTTCAGTGCCGTGGGTTCGGTGCCGTGGTGTTGGTGCCGTGGTGTTGGTGCCATGGTGCCAGCGCAGCGCGGTAACCGCCACGGTGCCGTCAGATCTCGGACATCCAGGTCACGGGGCAGTCCGAGGACATGACCGCCAAGGAGAAGCTGCTGCTGTGGTCCCAGCGCATGGTCGAGGGCTACCAGGGGCTGCGCTGCGAGAACTTCACGGCGAGCTGGCGCGACGGCCGCCTCTTCAACGCCATCATTCACCGGCACAAGTACGCGCTGCCGGCGCCGCCTGCGCCATGGGCACCGCAGCCGCAGCCGCATCCTGCTCTGCACCCCCTTAGCCACAGCCCCAGCCCCAGCCCCTTCCCTTTCCATCCCCATCCCCATCCCATCCCCTCCCCTCCCCATCCCCATCCCCATCCCCTCCCCATCCCCATCCCCATCCCCTCCCCATCCCCATCCCCATCCCCTCCCCATCCCATCCCCTTCCCTTTCCATCCCCATCCCATCCCCATCCCCATCCCCATCCCATCCCCTCCTCATCCCCTTCCCACCCCCTTTCCATCCCCATCTCTATGTCCCCATCTCCATCCCCTTCCCATCCCCATCCCCATCCTTGCTCTGGGCTCTGTGGGGACTCAGCCCCACATCGCTGCTGCCGGGCGCTGCTGATGCCCACCCATAGCCGGGCTGTTCCTGCCCCACACTGGGGCTGGGGGGGGCTGCTGCTGGCTCCATGGGGCTCTGCTTGCTCTGGGTCTGTGTGCGCGGTGCCCCTGGGTGGCTGCTGGCTCCTGGTGCCGGTGTCCCCGCTGTGGTGCCAGTGCCAGTCCCAGTGCCGGTGCTGGTGCCAGTGCCGGTGCCGGTGTCCCCTCTGTAGTGCCAGTCCCTGTGCCGGTGCCGGTGCTGGTGCCGGTGTCCCCGCCGCGGTGCCGGTCCCGGTGCCGGTGCCAGTGTCCCTGCCCGGTCCCGGTGCTGGTCCCTGTGCCGGTGCTGGTCCCAGTGCCGGTGCTGGTCCCGGTGCCGGTGCTGGTCCCAGTCCCAGTGCTGGTCCCGGTGCCGGTGCGTGTCCCTGGTCCCGGTGCTGGTCCCTGTGCCAGTGCCAGTGCTGGTGCCAGTGCCGGTGCTGGTGTCCCTGCTGCGGTCCCTGTGCCGGTGCCGGTGCCGGTGTCCCCTCCGCGGTGCGGGTGCGGGTGCGGGTGCTGAGCGTGCCTCCCGCAGGCCGATGCTCATCGACATGAGCCGCGTTCACCGCCAGAGCAACCTGGAGAACCTGGAGCAGGCGTTCACCGTGGCCGAGCGCGAGCTGGGGGTCACGCGGCTGCTGGACCCCGAAGGTGCCGGGGACACCACAGACCCCATCCCCCCCCTGAACACCCCCCCCATACCCCCATACCCCCTCCCCCCCTGTACCCCGCAGCTCCCTGTGCCCCCATCTCCCCTATGCCCCTTGTGCCCCCCGTGCCCCCTGTGCCCCCCAAGGGCCCCGTCCCCTCCTGTTGCCCCCCGTGCCCCCCATCCCCCCCATGCCCCCGATCCCCCTGTGCCCCCCATGCCCCCCTGTGCCCCCCAAGCCCCCCGTGCCCCCCATCCCCCCTGAGTCCCCCATCCCCCCCCGTGCCCCTTGACCCCCCCGTGCCCCAGACCTGGCCCCCCCATGCCCCCCATCCTCCCCATCCTCCCCGTCCCCCCCTGTGCCCCCTGTATCCCCCCATGTCCCCCGTCCCCCCATGCCCCCCATCCCCCCCATGCCCCCCATGCCCCCTGACCCCCCCGTGTCCCCCAGACGTGGATGTGCCGCAGCCGGACGAGAAGTCCATCATCACCTACGTGTCCTCGCTCTACGATGCGATGCCGCGCGTGCCGGAGCCGCAGGACGGAGTCAAGGCCAACGTCAGTGGGGGGCAATGGAGGGGGGGGTGGCACCGGGCCCCGCGTCCCCGCATCCCCCCCTTACCCAGGTCATAGAATGATAGAGCCATAGACCCATGGAACCATAGAACCATGGAACCATGGAACCATAGAGCCATAGAGCCATAGAGCCATAGAGCCATAGACCCACAGACCCATAGACCCATAGACCCATAGACCCATAGACCCATAGAACCATGGACACATAGAACCATAGACCCATAGACCCATAGACCCATAGAACCATGGACACATAGAACCATAGACCCATAGACCCATAGACCCATAGACCCATAGACCCATAGACCCATAGACCCATAGAACCATGGACACATAGAACCATAGAACCATAGACCCATAGACCCATAGAACCATGGACACATAGAACCATAGACCCATAGACCCATAGACCCATAGACCCATAGACCCATAGACCCATAGACCCATAGAACCTTAGAACCTTAGAACCATAGACCCATAGACCCATAGACCCATAGACCCATAGCCCCATAGCCCCATAGAACCATAGACCCATAGACCCATAGACCCATAGACCCATAGACCCATAGACCCATAGACCCATAGACACTAGACCCATAGACACAAGACCCACATAGACCCATAGACCCATAGACCCATAGACCCATAGACCATAGAACCTTAGAACCTTAGAACCATAGACCCATAGACCCATAGACCCATAGACCCATAGCCCCATAGCCCCATAGAACCATAGACCCATAGACCCATAGACCCATAGACCCATAGACCCATAGACCCATAGAGCCATAGAGGCCATAGAGCCATAGACCCATAGACCCATAGACCCATAGACCCATAGACACATAGACCCATAGACACATAGAACCATGGACACATAGACCCATAGACCCATAGACCCATAGACCCATAGAACCATAGAACCTTAGAACCTTAGAACCATAGACCCATAGACCCATAGACCCATAGACCCATAGCCCCATAGCCCCATAGACCCATAGACCCATAGACCCATAGACCCATAGACCCATAGACCCATAGACCCATAGAGCCATAGAGGCCATAGAGCCATAGACCCATAGACCCATAGACCCATAGACCCATAGACACATAGACCCATAGACACATAGAACCATGGACACATAGAACCATAGACCCATAGACACATAGCCGCATAGACCCATGGAATGGTTTGGATTGGGAAGGAGCTGAAGCTCACCCAGTGCCATGGGCAGGGACTCCTCACACTGAACCATGGTACCCAAGGCTCTGTCCAACCTGGCCTTGGGATGGAGCATTCCCAACCTCCCTGGGCACCCATCCCAGTGCCTCAGCACCCTCCCAGGGAAGAATTCCCTCCTTAGATCCAATCTAAACCTCCCCTGTTCCAGTTTGACCCCATTACCCCTTGTCCCATCACTGCAGTCCCTAATGGAGAGTCCCTCCCCAGTATCCCTATAGCCCCCTGCAGACACCGGAAGGATGCTCTGAGGTCTCCACGCAGCACAGGCCTATGTCCCATGTGTCCGTGATGTCCCCCATATCCCATGTTCTCATGTTCCCCATGCCCCTATCCCCATCCCCATGCCCATCCATGCCCCATGCCCATGCCCATCCATGCCCCATCCCCATGCGCATCCATGCCCCTATCCCCATGCCCATGCCCATCCATGCGCATGCCCTGTCCCCTGCCCCATGCAGGAGCTGCAGCTGCGCTGGCAGGAGTACTACGAGCTGGTGACGCTGCTGCTGCAGTGGATGCGGCAGCACACGGGCAGCTTCGAGGAGCGCCGCGTGCCGGCCAGCTACGAGGAGATCGAGGTGAGGACCTGACCCCCATGCACCCCCATATCCCCCCCATAACCCCCCATGCACCCCCATGTCCCCCCCATAACCCCCCATGCACCCCCATGTCCCCCCCATAACCCCCCATGCACCCCCATATCCCCCCCATAACCCCCCATACCCCCCATGCCCCCCCA